TCTGCATTGATGTCTGGCCATCTGGTGGTGTAGTCACTTCTTTTAACTTTTGGAGTAGTTTTTGAAGGAAGAGATGCTTAACCTGTAGAAGTGTTCTATATTGATAGTCAGGTTGTATGTTACAGGTTTGCTTCTGAGTGACTGCAGTTGTAGGTACTGGCTCAGTCCTCACACCCTCTCTGCTGGGGTGTGCAGGACCCCTGGGTCACGTGGGACTCTGGTGGCCAGCACACTCTTCTGTGCTCTTCGCTGGGGTTGGCAGACTTGCTGGGTTGGGCAGGACTCTGAACTCCCCTGGCTTCTATCTCAAAATGGCAATATCCAGCAGCAGCCTAGGACTGACGGAGTTGGGGAGACTCAGCATGTACTTCCCTCTGGAAAAAGCAGTCATATGAGCTCCTAGCAGCTTCCCACACTGGGCTCACTTTCCATAAAGGCCGCATGGTTACTTTGCAGCCTGATTTGGAGTCGTTTGTGGTGGGAGCACCACCTGTAGACCCACCCCCCCACCTACGTTGTGCCAGCAGTGCAGGGTCACTAGTCTCCACACTCATCTCGGTCAGGTGCTTTCCCTGGTTTTCTATGTTGTTGTCTCAAGTTTCCAGATCTTGGGGGATTTTTTTTTCCTTTCTGTTTTGCTGGATTCTGTCATTTTCTCCTAGACACTCTATAAGTAACTATCTACTTATTGCTTTAGACATTTTTTGCATTAGTGGTGAGGGCTGGCTGCCTCTAGAGAGCCATCTTGCTGGAAAAAATAGAAAAAGAGAGAGAGAGAGAGACGTAGTCTTTTATACAGCTAAGTTTTAATGATAGGGGAAGGCACCACATTATATAAAGGCAGGAAAGTACATGGTGACACATAACCCCAGGAATATAATGAACCTTGAAATATCATGAGTCCAATTGGGGGTCTTAAATATTAGTTGGGCTTTACTATACTTTATAAAATCTGGCTAGCTTGTCATCTTAATCATATATTCATCTGTATAAGTGCTTGAGAATATAACACATTGGACATGATTTTTCAATGCAGTTATGTGAACATTCCTATGTCTAGATAAGCAATTTTTATAATGCTGTAGCTAGTTTGAATTATCACATTATATACATACTTATGTAATAGCATTTGGATAATTTAATTTTTACAACTTGATGAATTTTCCATCTTTTCTTTGAATTACAGTGACTTGCAAGGAGTAAGAACAAATGACAAAAGGGATGGAAGTGACAGGATTCTCAGTGGAAACAAGGTGTGTAAAGAGGGGCTTCTAGAGCTCTTCTCTCCAGAGTCATGCTGTGGGTAACAATGTCTCAGATACTATTTATTATTGATTCAGTTAGATCTGGAGACTAACACAAAAATTGAGTTTACTAAAGATTTTTTGGAGACAGTGAGAAATTTACAACATTTATATTACATGAGATCTGTGATAGCCTCTTCTATGTTCCATTGTGCATGCCCCTTCACCAGTATGGTAAATGTTGTTTTAGCTTCCAAACAACACTTATCAAACCAGAAATGGGGAAGGTAAAACTCATATTGCCGACATAAGGGACAAAAAATAATTAA